AAAAAGCACCATTAATAAGTACAACTTGATAGATATTATAGCAGCAAACTTTTAATTAATATTCCTTCAACACTTCAGAAGCTGTTGACTTGCACTTCATTTCTTTTGGCGGTCTTGAAATTAACATAAATGACTTACAGTAGAAGCATTTTGTAACTACCTTTTTTCTACACAAGATTACTGCATTTTAAATTTATTCATTAATCTTCTTTTTGGCTTCATCCCTTTATTAATCCAGGGTCCCCACAGCAGAATGAACCGCCAACATATCCAGCACGTTTTTTACACAGCGGATGCCCTTTCAGCCTCAACCCATCTCTGGGAAGGCATTTTAAATTATGGGTTGCTATTTTTTTAGTTTTTTAGTTTTGGGAAACTGCTGTAAAATTCCAAAGAACTGCCACAAATCACTTCACATAATTAGATTGTGTCTTGTTTCTAGTCCAAATATCTAAAAATTCCTAAATCAAGAAGCATTTAATGCACTGTAAAACCCAAAAGGTTAAGCTAACTAAAACCATTTAAGGGAAACCGATTAAAACAAACCCTTTAAGTTCAAAAACTAATTCTAATGAGTACTGTCAACCTAATCTATTTGAGTAAACAGTCATTTGAGCATGATAAAACCCAATAATTGAAGATAACTCAAACTGAGTACTGTAAAACCCAATGAATTAAGGCAACTCAAACCATTTGAAGAAAATTATTTCTACAAACCATTTGAGTTAAAAAAATTTATCTATATTAGTACTGTGAACTTACTCCATTTAGGTTGAAGTAATAAGGTATTTAATTAACTCATTACCTTCAATACTAAGTTCAAAACTCTTTTCAAATGAGTAGAAATAACTTTCAGTATATTCTGAGTTAACTACACTCATTTTATGGTCACACTTTACAATAAGGTTAATTAGTTAATGTTAATTAATACATTTACTAACATGAACAAACAATGAACAATACATTTACTACTGTATTTGTTCATGTTAGTCAATGTTAGTTAATGAAAATACAGTAGTTTATTGTTAGTTCATGTTAACCCATGATGCATTAACTAATGTTAACAAGCATGGACTTGGATGTTAATAATGCATTAGTAAATGTTCAATTATGATTAATAAATGCTGTACAAGTGTTGTTCATTATTAGTTCATGTTAGTAAATGCATTAACTAATGAACCTTATTATTGTAAAGTGTTACCCATTTTATTTGATAAAGTTTACTTTTGGGTTTTACTTGAGTACAAAAGTGCAGTCAGCACTTCAACTTTTACACACAGCTGCAACCTCTGAAACTTTTTGCATAAACATTTGTTTCACATGATGAATTCTGGATGCTTTTTATTATAATTTTATTCATATAAATCACCCATGTGAATAATTTTAATGTTAAAGTGCTTGTTAAACTAATTTATTAAAGACAACGGTCTAATTTAAATGAAGACAACAGTAATACAAATTCTGAATTAGGAAATAGGAAATCATTGAAAAAAAAAATCTTAATGCATACAGCATTTATAAAAGATTTACCTGTTTTAGTACTAACTGTACAAATGCTGACAAAAAAAGCACACGATTGTTAAAGAAAATTTCCTCGGTATTAGATTGAAAGATCAGAGAAGCCTGTATAGTAAACCATGGTCGAAAGTGAAAAAAAGACAATCTGGTCTATTTAAATGCAGCATATTACCCAGTGTGAGCACGGCAGCTAACTCCCTCTGTCTCATCCACTTTGGACATCCTTGCCTTTCTTGTGGTAAGCTTCACAAACTAGACTGTGTATGTGCGTGATCAACATAGGTTGAAAAAGCCACACATTTGGAATAAAAATAAATACATTTACTGAATCAAAAAGGCACTCAAATTGCGCAATGACAAGAAATGATGTAGGTCAAGCCACCAAACACATGAAAACGAAAGTAACGACTGTGGTTTACAAATGTAAGTAGAAAGTAGAGATATCTGTGTAAAAATCTAAAAAGTGACAGTAAGTTATCAACAAATAAATAGATAAATAATAGAGTAGTAAAGTACCGATACTAGAAAAATCTAATTCATTACTTCCCATATCTGTATTTGGCCAGACGCTAATAAACTAATTGGCCTAATTAAAACAAATAAGAAAATGCCATGTGACCCCAAATCAGTTTCTTGTCTTATTAGAATAAAAAAATCCCAGCTGCTCGTCTAGACGAACAAGCATATTGTTAGGTTTACTATCTCCGCCCTGTATTAGTATGCGTTGTTTAGCCTAAAACAACATTCCTTCCAATCAGTTATATCCCTAAGCTCTCACCTTTACCTAAAACCTAAACCAGTCCTAGGGGTGACATACACTTAAAAATGACTTTTGCTGTTTGTTCAAACTACTTATTAAAAGATGCAGTATAAGTTTGACACACAGTAGGCATTGCACTCCTGCTTCAAAACACTCGCAAGCACAGGTTGCCAGATAGATTACACTAAAGGCATTGACCTGTCTGACTATCTTGCCAAAAGGCTGGTTTAAAGCTGATCTAATCTGTGTAAATAAAAGCAACAGCACGCAATAGAAAGAATATTTTCCATGTTAAAGGGCGTTTTTGTTCTAATCAGAACCTGAAATGTATATTTTAGAAACAGCTTCTATTTCTCACAGGTGAACAACAGACCACTGACAATGATCACCTCAGGTACACAAGTGCTTAAATTTAGTGTTAAATGCTAAAATTGTGAGTTTAAATGCCATTTTACATGACATTTATTGCCATACTACTGAAAGCAGCAGCAGTTCACCACAGATCTGGAAAATAAAATGACCTGTTTGAAATTAAATTTTAGAACTGAGACTCAAAATATGTGCACAAACCAACACATATCAGTGATTCAGCATGTATATTTTATAGTGTTTAAGAGGTTTAATATGTATTAATTAAATTATAAACTTTACCATTTTATTGGAGTGCAGTAGGTGCACTTTTCTGTGCATCTGAATGACTGTATTTACATTTCTGTCGTATTTCGTCTGCTGCAAACAGCCAATTTGCTAATCAATGCAAATATTGTCACGTAGTGTGTTGTTAGGACATGGGGTTACAATGTTCACCTAATGTTTATGTATGTAATATTAATATTATTCACTAATTGATAACCACCTCATTTTGAACTTTGAATCTGCATCTCATTTTGGAGTCTGCTACTGTCTACCAGAGGTCGCATTTTGGTCGCTCATGCACACAAGAGAGCCTTTCTAATGCTGTGTTCACACCAGACATGGAACGCGTGGATAAATCACGCTATTCACGCGTAAATAGCCGCGTGAACATTTGAGTTTACTCGCTTCATTCGCATGTCAAACCCCGCTTCATTCGCGTGTCAAATCCGATTCGTTCACGTGTCAAATTTACTTCAAAACAGAAGCTGATTCGCGTGATGGGCAGGGCTCCTGTCTTCCCGGTGACTGTAGCTTCGTTGCTAAAAGGCTAATATGGATTTTATGAAGAAAATAACAGTGTTTATGTGCTTTATGAAGACTGAAAAACAGCGTCGATACGTTTAGGGTCGTGTCTGAGTCCACTACATCCTTTCAGAGGTGCATCCAGCTCTGTGAGCTCATAAACTCCTTCAGGAACTGAACCTGGATGACGGAGGCTTTCAACGATGCTCTTACTGAGCCAAGCCCAGTTTGATGAACTGTTGTTGGTGAAGGCTGGAGGATTTCCCACGGAACACCGCCAACAGGTTCTACGTCACAATCACGCCCTCACAAGAGCAAGCTTCTGATTGGTTAAAGCGGCGCGAATGTCTGCTGAAGTTCAGATTTTCAAATTCGAGAGATTCGCTCGTTAAGCGCGTCAAACGCGCAAAACACTCAATTCGCCTCAGGCGTATAGCGCTATTCGCGCCGCGCCATTCGCGTCATTCCCGCCGCACCATTCGCGCGTATCGCGCCACAGGATATCTATTCGCGCGTTTGCATTGACTTAAAATGTAAATCACGCGCACCTGATGAGCGTGCCGCGTCTGGTGTGAACAAAGCATTACTGAGAGAATGAATACACTACTTTCCACCAAGGCAACCAGGGTGCTGAAATATAATTGGGCAAACTGGGCTAAAGGGACCAAAAAAAAGACAGCCAATCCGGCACGTAACGCACATTTTCAAAGCAGTATATCTGACCTTAGCCTTGATTTTTAGATAAACAAGAATGTTCATTTAGCATGATTCTTAAATATCTGCAAGCATATTATGTTATTTCTATGCTTTGGAAGAGTCAAAACTTACATACAGCACCTTTAAAATCAGCTGCAACAACCAAGTTTTGGGGAGGAACAACATTATTTTATTTTCAATCCACATCAGTTTGTTAAAAACTAATAACTTAAATAGTTAAAAACTAATAAGTTAACTTTATTCCTTCCTGTTCTACCAACACAGACTCAGCCGACAACATGATATTGGCTGATAAATACTTACGTTTAATGTAATGGTTATTTGCCTGAAAAGAAAATGATCAGACAGGAATAATAAAGCTGATGTATAAGTATTTATGCTGGTTAATCCATTTTAGATGTATGCTGCTGGCCATGAGGCTTTTATAAATGGTTTATGTAAGTGACATTTGCATGACATGTCGCACACAGCAAATGCACACTTTACAATAGTATATACTAGAGGAGTTGCAAGATGTAAGCGGTGTGGGAGGAAAAATATATACAGTATATTGTTTAGTAGTATGCATGGTTTTGTGGGAAGATTCTTTTGAATGCTTTTAACTATTATACCATTAAAACTGTCTAAATATTTGTCCCTTTCACCACATTTGCAAGAATACTGTGGTAAAAAGAATCCAGTGCTGAACGTGGCTTTCATGACACTTTAGGCTTTCTTGCTTCTAAAGTATGAGCTAAATTGGATAAGAATGTTGTTCAGCATCACAAAGAAACAATAACTCCCTTTTCTTGTGATTCTACACAGGATTGCATTGTTAAACATCAAACAAACACTTTTATTGACTTACCAGGCCATTGCAGGTGCTGACCGCTGCCTGACCACTCTTCAGCATGCTGCTCCAGACATCTCCCAGGAAGAAACAGAGAGAGTGGCCATGACCATGTAGAGTTGAGCCCTGCAGGCCACCATATCTCCGCTCAGTAAGGAATCCAGGAGCCAGCAGATGAGGGTTCAGGGTGAGGTTAAAGTGAAGGTCCTGACCACCATACTGAAGATAGTAGTAGACCTGGGTCAGTCTCTCTTTGCTTTTTTCTGTCTCTCTTCTCTGAATTCGACTTACACGGTGAGACACAAGATTAGACAAAAAATGTCCTGAGGAATCCACTCTGATAGGATAAACAACTTCGTAGCTGGGAACTCCACTGAGAGAACCATCTACAAAAATAAAACAAGGCAACTGTTAAGTTAAAAAATACTGTCACATAACTAGGCCTGTAACAAATAGAGGTAAAATTGGTTTTATATTCAGATATTCAGACATTCTCCTTAATAATATAATTTCAGAAAAGTATTCTTAGCAAATTCTAAATAGGGAAAAAATAATAGCAGCAAATAACTATCAAAGTACAACATTGTTTACAGTCAATTAGATAGTGCTAATGTTGTTTCGAAGTCAAACTTGCAAGCTAATTCCAATCGAACATTCAAAGAAACATGCTAAACAATAGAGTGGAGGAACTATGACGTCACCTTGTAGGCTAATCGGCTGCTAGCATTAAAACTTCAGCACTTTTGGATCTTAAATGCAAACGCAAAAACTGAAAAGCTAATAGGCTATAAACGGACTACAGTGCCTTCGGGACGCTCTCCTGTGACGTCAGCACCACACTGCTACAGACAACTTTTCAAGCTTATTTTTAGAAATATGGTCCATAACAAAGATTTACTCTCTCTGTTTATTATATTATATTATATTATATTATATTATATTATATTATATTATATTATATTATATTATATTATATTATATTATATTATATTCAGCACATATCAGCACATTTCTATAGTTTTAATAATTAATTCTAACAACTGATTCCTATTATCTTTGCCTATATATATATATATATAAATATATATATATATATATATAAGCAAAGGAAAAAAACTTTAAAGTAAAGTATGTTTTCCCAAATTCCCAAAAGATTTTGAAGAATGCACTGATTACAGCACTTTACTGGATTTGTTTGAGAATATGTAGTGTGGCAGAACAAAGACTGAAATAAGTTGTCAGGTCTGCATTCTCCATATTCCTACAGTTCCCAAGAGAGTCTATAGTACCAACTCTTTAGTGTTCAGTCTGTTCACTTTCCACACAGTTGATTTGACCTACATGATTTCAGAAGCAGAAGGAAACAGCATTAGAGGATTGTGTCCTCCAAGAAATGGGATATGGAGTGGGGGATTTATGCCTTATCAAGACAAACATAACTAAAAACCACACAAGGGCCTCTGTGAGATGGGTGGTGTAACATTGGTATTTAGAACATTCAAATTACTGCACAAAGTTCACCATACACTTAAAAAAATATTTGTAAATTTGTAAAATAAACCCAGGGGAATGCCAAAGGGAAAAAAAAACAGTTTTTGTTCACCTTTTAAAGTTGATGGCTTTTCCAATCACTTTGGCTCAATTGTCAGACTCTTTAAAAAAAAATGTAAATAATAAAATTAATTAATTAATTAATTGATTGATTGATTAATTAATTAATTTATTAAACAAAAATATGTAATATCTCTGCAGTTTGCTTCTTGATAACAGCTAATTTGATTTTCTGGTGAAAAGATGGCAACTACATATAATATATGTTTATTAAAAATAAAAATCTGTCATCATTTACTTACTGTTCACTTGTTCCAAACCAGTTTGACTTTCTTCAGTTGAACACAAGAGACGATACACTGAAGAAAGCTGAAGACCTGTAAACATTGTATTTTTCCTTCTATGCAAGTCAATGGTTACAGGTTTTCAGCTTTCTTCAAAATATCTTCTTTAGTGTTCAACAGAAATATAAACCTATAAAGGTTAATAAATAAACCACTTTAGGATGACTATGTTTTAATTTTTTGTAGTGAACTACACCTTTAATGCCTTATTCTGCATTTTAGATGCTTAAAGGAATAGCTCAACCAAAACTGATAACTACCCCTAAACTTTCTTCTTTCAGATGAGCAAAGTCAAAGTTCTACATTTTATTCTGTCTCTTCTACGACATATATTGGTGTTGGGTAGTGGTCATTTTTTAAAGCTTCCAAAAGTGATTAAATCTATTGTACTATATGCCACCACAGGGTTCCCGCGGGGTCTTAAAATGTCTTAAATGTACTGAAATATTGTGTTTTAGATCTTAAATCATTTTAAACAGGTAGAAATTTCCATCTATCCATGTAACACTAAATAATCGTAATGACATCCATTAACAATCCATCTCAATGAAACTTTTGTTTTAAATATTTAATTTTTTATTGCAAAGAGATCCAATTTACAAGCTGTTTTACAAGCAATTTCTTCTTATTAAATTCCTTAATCAGGAAGGAATTCTTCCTCAATTCCTCATGATAATAACAAAGCAACATTTCATTTTACATTGTACTTAATCAATTTGGACCAAAAGTCAACAAATGTATATGTTTAATTATTTATGTCATTGTCTAAATAAATAAACTTTTAACAATGTTAACTAGAGGTTTCTTGTTTTGACACTAAATATGCCACTAAGAAATAATTACATTATTTATTTATGTATTTATTTATTTATTTATTTTTGTGGCAACCAAATGGGCCAATTGAATGTTTAGCCCTGTAAAAGTCTAAAATTAAATTTGTAATTGTCTTAAAAGGGTCGTAAAAAGTTTTAAATTTGAATTTAATTAACCTGCAGAAACCCTGCCCCATATCTAGTTAGACAACTATTCGATTGCTTGAGGGAGAGTAAATTATGGGGTAATTTTAATTTAATTATATATTTTTTTGTAAAATTAAATCTTTCAGCATACCTACATCTACCTCACAAACCATTATTAAGCAGTAAGGTATACACTTGGGAAAAGTTAGAATTGATCCTTTGCTTATTTAAGCACAATTGCATTTGTTTCGGCTTATGTGTACAACAGTGTAACAACATATGTCTACAATTTGCATGCTACTGTACTGTCACTACTGTACTTGCACATAGCTAGCTGATCAAATCAAATCTGATCCGTTTATTCTCAGCGAAACTCTCAGATTCTTCACAAAATTTAAACATGTTTTTATTGTGCAAGCATTTATCAAAATCTGCCAGAAATAAATGTATATTTCCTTAAATATCTGTGATGTTGAATGTTTGTAAAGTCGGACTAGCCTACTAATTTAATGCAATCACATTGAAGGCATGTGTTGTATTTGGAGTTTGTCCGCAGCACAATTCTATTTTGAACAATATAAAAGGAATGTCAGAATCCTCAAGAGCAGCTAGCTGCATGCTGTGAACGCTCGATTTTTTGTTTAAAACATTTAACATTAAAGCAATGTATGAACTACAAAGGGTTACATTCTTTTCCTTTGTACTACTGTATAGATTTTTCCTAGTAAAATTTTACCGCTATTAAGCACGATGCGCAATAGCATTCAGATAGACAAAACCAACATTGCTGTATAACTTGTAAGCAGTCAATCAAAAATCAAACAAAAAATGCATTTAATGAATTTGACAATTGACTGATGTGTTGGGGAACAACATCTAGAAATTCTTTGGTGGTACTAGCCAGGTTAGTGACACCAACATAGTTGTCTTTCTATCATTCTTAAGCATAATTTTAGGATGAGTAACTACATTTGGCAGCATGCCAAACATGTTGTGATGTTCAACCACTGACACTGTCATTATTAAGAAGTTATATTGACATTTATAAACACATGAATCATGTGTAATAAAAACATATAAAATATGAAAGCAGCATCTGCAAATTAATTTTATATTATTTATTAATTTATTTTAAATCATAACATTTTATATTAGGCGACACAGTGGCTTAGTGGTTAGCATTGTCACCTCACAGCAAAAAGGTCACTGGTTCGAGTCCCGGCTGGATCAGTTGGCATTTCTGTGTGGAGTTTGCATGTTCTTCCTGTGTTCACGTGGGTTTCCACAGGTGCTCCATTTCCCCCCACAGTCCAAAGACAGTATTGTATGAGTATGTGTGAATGAGTGTCTATGGATGTTTCCCAGTACTGGGTTGCAACTAGAAAGGGCATTCATTCTGCTGTGGTGACACATGATGAATAAACAGACTAAGCCGAAAATAAATGATTAAAATATATTATATTATATTATATTATATTATATTATATTATATTATATTATATTATATTAATTTATTGCACTGTTTTATTGTGGTTCCCAGAGATATTCTCTTAAAGATAACTGTAATCTTTATTTAGTAATTGAATCCAATTACCACAACTTAATTTTTGGAATTAATAATTTCAGATGATATGCAATAAATTCCTTCATAGCACTGTTTACCCAATACCTTAATAAACAGCATGTTATTTTACAAACCAAGCAAAGATCTCTTTGTGAAAATTTCTTTCTTGCAAAGTGTGCTGCTATGTAAAAAGAATGTGTCCAGATACTTTAGGAGCCATTGTAGGCTATATAAAAACTCCAGCGAGCGCACGCGCGCGCACACCTACTGACAAAGAGACAAAAAATTGCAGAAAATCAGAGCGTGGGACTGTTATTAGACACAAGCTCAGCCCACTCACCTGTGTCTTGATTATATCCGATCGATGTTGTGCTCTCGATCACAGAAATAAGTCCAGCTGTTATCACGAAGTACAGAGAAAAAGTTGCTGGTCCCAAAACTTTAATGCCGCAGTCCAGCGGAACCATCATGTCAAACTGCACAGAGGACAAAACAGATCCCTCCTGGAACATCTACAGTCCATTTACAAGGTGGTCTGAATAGTAACTTTTGCCTCAACCTAATGCATCGATAGTTTGGACCCATCACACAAAGGCAAGCTACTGCATTTATAATGCCATAGATCTGCAACGGTCATCAGACCGATATGACACTTGGAGCAGCACGAGAAAGTCTGTGAGTCCTGAATCCGGTGCATGGGCGAATTTGGGCTCCGTTAATTCAGCTGGGACGTGTGCAGTTACTGATGCCGCGTTCAGAAGAGCAGCGAATTGTTTCAGCTAAACTTTGGAAAAGTTCCGCCCTCTCGGTTCGCCAAGAGGAGGAGGAGGAGGGCCTTTGTGTTCACTGTGTGTCAGACTCTCCCGTCTTTTGTTGAGTGTTTCCGTTTTTATCATTTTTTTATCATCATGTAAACGATAGCAAACCATTTGTCATTGCGTCCCAGCCGGCATTTCAACGGTGATTCAACGTTGAATCAACGTCAGGTCTATGGTTGGATCAACGTTGAATTACCTTTCGATTTTGCAAATTGGATCAACGTTTATATAGTGACGTTGTTTCACCGTCGGACCACCACCGGTGATTCACCGTTGAAATCACAACGTTGTTTCACTCTTACCTTCTTCATGGGTGAATTGTGGTCGTTTTGTAGACGTTGAATGAAGGTTGAATTACCTTTCGATTTTGCAAATTGGATCAACGTTGATACCGTGACGTTGTTTCACCGTCATACATTTCAACGCAAGTTAAATAGAAATTACATACAACGCAAAGTCCATAAATATAGCAAAAAAATTTTTTACTAATAAATATACACGACAAAAATACACAACTTAGCCTGTGTATCAATTTATTTAATACACACCTCATTATTTCATTTATTCTAAATATACAGCAACATTTACAGCATACAGTTCATCAAAACCATGCAGGTTACTATACATGCTGTACACTCAAATACAGAAAAAGGCATACAATTAAAGAGTCACTTTTTAATTAGGTTTCATGAATTAAAGTTAGTTAATGTTTACTAACATGAACAAAGAACAAATACTTGTACAGCATTTATTAATCATTTAATTAATTGAAATATGTCCCGATGCTATTAAAATCAAAATGTATGCTTGTTAACATTAATGCACTGAGCTGACATGAACTGTACTTTCTTTATATGAAAGATGCTTCATTGCTCTTTGTTCATGTTAGTAAATACATTAACACTTACTAATACAACCTTTTTGTAAAGTGTTACCGTCTTCAGAAAGACAGATGCTAACTAAATTAAACTAAGTAACTAAACTATGCTTCAACCATCACAGTCTCCAAAATACAATTCCGTTTACAAAGTTTACAAAATACCCATTTTTAAAGTGGCTGCAGTAAAAAAAAAAATAAAAAACATCACTCACAACTAAGAATCACAAGTGAAATACATTACATCTGTTTGAGGTTTTATAGGTTGAGAGAAACACTTGAGGTAAAAGATGGCACTGGGGACAAAGAATCAAGTGTAAAACACTAAAACATCTATATCAGTCTAGCAGTTAAATACACATTTATTTCTCAAACACCAGGTGAGTTTCCTACAAAATCAATAATGAGGTTTGCTATTCCAGTTCATTGTGAATGAATGGCTTCACATTCACAATAGTGAAAACTCATGCTATAATCTAAACCTGACATTACTCCTTCACTTTGCAGGTCTGCATGCTAAATATTTAGTAGTTTTTTTTTTTTTTGTTTTTTTTTGCATAAAGTACATCTATTGTGTTTAGCATTACTGCAGCAAAACTGAGCACCTGTGACAGTGGAACATGTAGACAAATATTTCAGTAAATCATAAAGAAAATGTGTAGAATATATGGTTTGATTCTCTCTCAAAAACACAACAGTAATAGCAATTTGTTATTCCATTATTATTAGTATCATAAAAATTGCATGTTCACATGGGTCTTATAATAATGGCTCACATTTGTGAATGTAGGACCACTATTTCACTATTACATGTCACATTAAGTGTTCATATACAGTAGGTTCTGTTATTAATTACTTGTGTCATCCCAGAGACCTGTTAATCTTCAGAACACAAACTAAAATATTCTAGATTAATTGCTCCTCATCCTCTACAGACAGCAATGGTCCCAAGATGGTCATTGTCCAGATAAGGCACAAAACACATTGTCCAAACGTTCCATGTGACTTCAGTGATTTCAACTGTGAACATACCAAGCTCCAACAACACTTTAGTGAGGCAAAACAAAACAGTAAATACAAATATGTTTGCATATATCTCTCCCGCATCAGATCAGCGTGTGTGTTTACTACGAGCAGTATGCACACACCATGACCTGTTGTGGCAAAGGCAAACAAGTTATTTTTACAGTACTTACTGTGATTTAACCTTTATGACAAATGTACTGGACCTGTTACACATATATCACTATCTTTTATGAACACAAATTTCACTGTAACGGATGCTGTTGTTTTGCTCCAGTTATACCTTTAGAGCAGTGGTTCTCAAACTTTTTTCACCAAGTACCACCTCAGAAAAAAATTGTCCCTCCAAGTACCACCTTACGATGCTATTTCATAACCAGTATTAAAAAATAGCGTCGTAGGCCTAATTAAGCCGCTACAGGTGTGCACAGTTTAAAAACGATGCAGATTAATTCCTATTATTAAGAATATGTATTATTATCAGTCACTTTAAACATTTGAAATAGTCTGAACATTAACTGTGCTTGCAGATTAAAATAAAAAGTTTTTGTTAAAATGTGCTTTTAAAAGTTCATTAAAAATGGCGCGGTTCTTAAAAAGTAAAAAGAAAACTGCTGTGCTTAAATCTAAAGTATTCAATGTAGCCTATTCATCAAAAGCTGGAAATGTTGCTTGGACCTTATAAATATAGGCTATATGTCACATTCCTACACTTTCAGACAAATCTTGAAATATATGTTAAATGTAAATATGACAGGGTTCATACAAGCACAGCCTAATGAAAATCAATTCCAGCATCTATTTTTTTTTTCAAGACTGACATGCTATGTATTGAAGACCTGAAATGTATTCTCAGCAACCCATAAAACATTGCATAGGAATAGATAAAAATAAAAAACATTAAAAATAATATTTATTAATCATATATTCATAATATAATAAACCTGCACTAAATGCTTGTGAAATCTTTTTTGTACTCAAGTAAAAATACTATTACGCTGCTAAAATAACACAAATTTTAGTAAATAATACTAATATTAGGTAAAAGTACAAAGTACTCTTTTAAAAAGTACTAGTTGGTTACTTTTGGACAAAAAAAAAGATTTTCATTATGAAATCACTTTTTTACGTGGAAACCTGATTGAATGGTTTAATTGCTTAAATCCCAAAGCTACATGTATAGGAAATTGCACTATCAAAGAAAGTATGGTCGATTTTTCCTTTCATGACAATTAATCTTTTTCAATAGCACTGGTAAAACTACCAAATAATCTTTAAGGCCATAGAGACACTTTTTGCCCATTTTTTTAAACGATATAACAAGCTTTGAAAGGTTTAAATGAAGTATATGGTAAAAAGATTTAAATTTAGCCTTTTTTTTTTCTTTTTACATATTTTACACTATTTTTCTTTACAATATGGCAAATTTGTTACTTAAAAAGCTGTACATCACATGTAGATTTTATTTTACATTTAACCTAATCTAAAATAGAAACTTTAAAAAAAATACAAGTACACTGTCAGTAAAAAAAAAAATTAATAAAACAAATGACTTCATTTTACTTGAGGTATTTGAAATGACAACACTACATTTATCAGTGCGAGTGCTTTAAGAGCCTTATTGTTAATTTTGATAAATAAACAATAAGTAACAACGGATTGCTTTGACCTGTAATGCTTTAAGACAGATCAGAATACAGCTAAATGTATAAATCACACAAATACCTCATCCAGAAACGTTTCCAGCATAATTCTTTTGTCGTAAAGAAAAAAAAGAAAAAAATACACCTTTGCCAAAAGTAAGTTTCACTTCACAACACAGCCAAATAAGAAGACCATTAGCATTGTCATCGATCATGTATCAATCTATTTCTAAATACTTGATAACTTTGAATACTTTTGACTAAATTTAGTCAAGGAGCAAATATAAATAATATCTACTTTAATAGTGAACAGATCGCGATTATATTCAATCTGAGCACACAGGCGATCCTGAGAGGACTTGCAGTTCATTTGGGAAAAAAAAGCCTATTTAAGAGCTCACATATCTGTTTTTGCGATTTGCGCACATGAATGCGCTCTCGTGTTAAAATAAAGCACTCGCCACATTTGCAGAAATGAGTAATTGCGCAATACCTCCATTCCCGCTCCACCATTCAGAATGTATTTAGAGGAGTGACAGGTCAGAGACGAGTCGACTGGCTGTCGGAGAGCGAAACGTGTTTGTAGATCATCAAATAGGCAGGAAATATGTCCGCGGTTTAATTACTCTGCTAGACATCTCTATAGTGAAAACATCCGAGAAGCATTATTCCAACAAAACATTTGTTTTTAAGTTGTTTTTTCTGTCTCTGCAACACAGAAACCATTTGTCCCGCCCTTATTCACGCAACTAGACAAGGTCGACTGTGATTGGCTACTTTTCATGTCAGTCAAATCACGCTTCAGAATCAATTCTTAAACTTCGGGAAATGATTTATAGCAGCTTGACACAGTGCACTAAAATAAACATTCTAAGCACAGCGTTGTGATCGTACGCTTCACAAAACAGCCAATGCTGATCACATCGATGTTATATTACGCATTAAAGGATTAAAAGTGTTAATTGTTTCTTTCATTATTCAGCGGTTCCTCCACGTACCACTAGGAGGAAGCCTGCGTACCACTAGTGGTACGCGTACCACAGTTTGAGAACCACTGCTTTAGAGAACACCGTACTAGTCAGACATCCATACAAAAGCAGAGAGTTTGGTCTTGTGTAGCAGAACTGCAATAGATGTCTGTCTGTCTAGGCTGACACTGGTTTAGGCCATCAGTATGTCCTTGATGCCCTCAAATGGAGCTTCCAGAAAACCTGCAATAAATGAAATACGAGGTTACAATTAAGTTGGTATCTGCTATTATACAAAGTAAAAATTCAAAAATTTATTTTTTATTGAATCCAAATTTGTCTTATAATAATCGCCACACTCAATAATTTTAACTCATACATCTGAATATTCCTAACTAAGAGAAGTGAAGAATTAGGTGTGATATCGTCAGGAAGCCCTTCGCCACCACCGGTGCCAGCATTTCCA